GCCTATTGTATGCAGACGATGTAGTTCTTATCGCTGATGCTGATTCATTGCAGTCCCTCCTTTCCAAATGCGAGGAGCATAGCCTTTCCTTAGGTTATCGATGGAACCCTAAGAAATGCGTCGTTGTTGATCCCAACCCTTCATGTCAAAAATACTACCTCTACAATAGTGAACTACCCAACGAAGATTACTTCCCGTACCTTGGTGTTCCTATAAAATCCGGTGGTATTGTCGACAAATCAGCACTCTTACAACAAAACATTAACAAAGCACTTGGAACGATGAGACAACTTATTACCCTTGGTGTCAACAAAAATGGGCTTGATTACCTCCTTTCAACGCGCTTCTATGCCCAGATAGTCCGACCACAGCTGGAATATGGTCTAGCAATTACAACCTTCAATTCACGGGAAATTCAATATCTCGAAAACTGCCAAAACCAATGCATTCGTCAAATCTTCGGTGGACGACCCTTCACCTCTACCAAGGTAATGCTACATTTAACAAATTTACCAAACATGAAGGATCGTATTTCCATACTTCAGGCACAATTTCTTTTCAGAACCTCCTTCCTACCCGACGATGCATTATTAACAAAATTGCTACCATACATACAATCACAGCGTATCTCGAAGTGGTCCCAACTATCTAAATCACCTCTATGGACATCATTCAGCAATGAATATCTCGAAACTATGTCCCATGGTAACTTTATTAGAAAACAAAGACAGTTTTTGATTGACAACCACCGTTCAAAGCTCCAAGAAAAACATTCTAAACTTCTGTCCCACTGCCGTAATGATCTAATTGTCGACCCTATTCTTCGGATACCAATGACAAGAAGTGAACGGTCTCGTTGCGTACGATGGCGACTTGGTTGGTTACCTCTTGGTAAACCCCAAGCCTGTCCCTTTCATCCAAATGAACTTTTTTCACGACAGCATAGTTTTTCTTGTTTAGATATGCACAACCGCCTTCAGATGCCCAAATCTATTGACGATCCACTTTCCTATCTTTTGAACCTCTTACCACCAACATTCCTTACCAAGAAAACGAGAAAATCAATCGATGCCTGGCTCATGCGTTGGCCTTCCATATGTGCAATATTACTCGAAATGGACTACTTAGCTCATTCTCAGTTTCCTGAAGCTTCAAACCATCTTGGTGAACCCTTTATCAAACGTCTTCGTTATATTCAGTAAAAATTTTCAGATAGTTAATTATCATCCCTAATACGTAATACTTTCACATTTTCCCTTTAATCCCAAAAGGGTTTTTCATTCCTTCTCACTGCGATCTGATCCGGGCAGTACAGCATAAGGATGCTATGTGCTCATCGGTCATTAAAAATTATTATCAAATAAAATTATTCTTTAATCGTAACTTATACTGTTGTGACACCAATATGGATAATTGGCAATGTTTCCCCGCTTACCATACAGAGGATTCTGCGTCTTTGCTGTCTTGGCATCGGCACTAGCCGAGATGAGACATACTAATCAGTTCTTGGGTCCGGGAGGTTCTGATGATGGCCAAAGCATAAGCTACTGATTGTTTAGCATTGTGTTTTCTGCCGACCCATCTACAGACGGTACCTTATCTGAGATCATTGGTTACCTTTGGTTAAGTGTTATCATGAGATGCTCTTTGTTACTATGAACGCCTTGTATACTTTTGTTTACTGGGGGAAAAACGGAAGGACTGTTTCAAGGCCAGAGGGAGGTCAGAGCAAAGAAGTGGAAAGAGAGCCTATAGAAGTGGCGCATTGAGGCACATAGACGTTATCAAAATTATTTTGAATAATATACCAGTTATATCAAATAAATCATATAGTTTGCTTGTTAGAAAAGTGAATCTCACTTACTTCGAAGTAATTACAGCATGAATGCTTCCAAATCGATGTTATCAAGGTTCTATTCTTTACTTTGTGTAGATTAGGATAAAAATGATGACTGGTTAACTTGCTTTGAGAAAGATGAGTATAGTATTAGAAGGATGGGTGATATCTTTTCAGATAGATACAGTTGAATAAGTAAAAAAACAAGACACTCGTAAATTAAAGATTGAACTCATTTACAGCACATAGCTTCTTTATCGAATTCAAAGAAGTACAATGGTTGCAAAGAGAGAGGAGAGAAAAGGAGAGGAACTCCGTAAGATTAGAGGCAAGGGTTATGCCTATATAAATAAATTATAAAATCATTGGTGCTTTTTTTTTATTTCATTTATTTATCGGGAACAAACACACATGAAAAATAGACACACACCTTGCACTGGTAAGAATTCCTTAGCACTCTTCTCTTTTTTTTCTAATGAGCTCATCATGTTACAGAATGTAGAAAGCAACGTCGTAAATGCATACAGATCAGTCCAGATCAACCCTGTTCGAGATGTCAAAAATTGGATAAAGTATGCGCAAGACCAGAGAGTTGCGCACTAGATCCAAACAATGAAGTTGAATGCCTAAATCAGCAGGTAAACGAGCTAAATCAAGCAATTCAGAGGATGGAGCATGAATTAAAGGCACTGGAAACAAAAACTCCTTCATACATCAAAAACGACACAGTGACCTTACCACGATCTACAATCGAGAACCTGTTCTATAACTGGAAAGTCAAAATCAATAATGGATATTTCACTATTGATACAGGCATAAAGTACATTAGTGACCTATTACCACACCACACATCAATTGAATATCTATCACCCATGACCAGCTACAGTAGCAGCTCAAGTGAAGACAGTTGGTCTGACGGAGGCAATATTCTGATAAGATTCAAATCACAAGAGTATGGAGGCTTTTATGGATTAACAGGGAAAATGTTGACGAAATGGATAAAGAAGAGGATGCTTGGCCAACAAGCATTGTTAATCAATCACATCCCATGTGGCTCACGTATACTGCTTGATAAACTTGTTGACATATATTTCAATTGCCATAACGTCTACTGCGGATGGCTGCATGAATCATCATTCAGGAAACGATACAGCCAGTTGAAGGAGCCTCTAGATGACTTGATCTGTGCTTCTTTATGCTGTTATGTTTGCGCAACGCCCTGCGATCATCTCGACTTTAATGCCTATCAGCGAAGGGATATGTGCGACTACTTTTATCTAAAGGCTAAAGAGAAGTTGCTCGATCAGTTTGACGATCCTGATAAACGGTTAGAAAATGTGATTGCGATCAATATGCTATTTTCGTATATGCATATGACATTGAAGTTAATAGAATATGACGCTTACGTGACCATGGGCTATCAGATCTGCCTTGATCTGCGGTCCGAGTACGAAGCAGCCAAGATTCAAACCGGTATTGACTATGCTCTCTTTGCCCGTCATTTTTCAGTAGCTTACTGTCTTCGCATGACACTCGATTGTGTTGTCAACAAGCCGATCACCCGACAGCCTATCCCCTTTCCAGTTATGAATACGCTTCCAGACGAGCTTGAAGAAACAAAGGATTTCATTCGCGTCATGGCGTGGGTAAATAATTTATATGAAGAACCATTTGTAGATATGCTGATGGTATGTCATGGGCACTTTTTTGTTTGCTTTTCTCTTACACTGATACGCTTACTATGTATAGGAACAAATACATCTTATTTTAATCGGGAGTACATGCACCATGAGCTTTGAAACTGTCGCCAGAATGGACCAGTTTTTGTTCGATTTTGGAAAAAATATTCCTAGTGAGTGGCGATTATGCGATAATGTCTTTGATGAAGCAAAGTGTAAAAAGGCTTTAGATCAAACAACAAATCCTATTGCTATTCATGCCTTTCTGCATTTTGCAGTGCTCATTGTCATACTATACGTTACAATTTTGCAACCAGTACCTGTGAATGATGAGAACGATTTTCTATTACAACATATTCAACGGAATGCTCTAGAAAAGTCGCTAAAAATGTCACGGCTACTGATTTATGGGATCCAAAGACTGTTTAAATTCAAGACATTATCACATTGTGAGTTTAAAAAGAGATCATCAAATAGCTATATAACTAAAATATTACTCTAGGTCATGTCAAGTTAACCTCAATGATCATCGTACTTTATTTAGTTGACCCTATCGTCCTACAGTGCTCTTCTCCTATCAAGAGCAGTGTTTTAGAGGCGCGGAAGATGTTTCAAAAATGTCTTGACATTATCTGTAACTTTCGTGGAATTCAACTCGAAGATACTCCTCCTCAGTTGTTGGCTGAGAAAAAAGACATTAAAGACTTTATTCACAATGGAAATGTGGATATTGACTACTACGACCGCTTTCCAGACCCTTGGTGTGCATTACTGCATGATGTATCTCAATTTTTCTTAAGGTAATAGTGTCCTTGTAGATTAAAAATGGAAAGGAACGATTACACGATTTCCTTTTCCTTTATTGTGTATAATATGTGTATAGTCAGCAAATCTTGTATTATTAACTAGAAAACTAATGAATAAAAATAATGTATTATTTGTTTTATGCTTACCGAGGCGTTACAGGTGGTAATTTATTTACCATTCTCGAGAAGTTCCAAGAAATAGTGATTGATCCTTTCGATCAAATAAGAATTTAAAGCGACCTACCGCACAGTCGATGAGTATTTAAGAACTTTTTGCTAACTTTTATTGAACTGTATATTACTTGGAAATTGATCACAGTGATATCGAATTGTCTTTGGGAGAAAAAACTCACTTCAGGTCACTGAGCCTTCTGATACCGTTTCCCCTTACTCCCTTGGCTTCTATCTTATCTGATGCCTTGAGTACTATCTCTTATTGAATAAAGTTACAAACTCATTTCCCACTCAATCATGTCTAGAAAATGATATTTGCTGGAATGGTATTCAACGAAAAAAAGAGACGGAGGCCATATTTGACTATTGTTAATCTGATGTTTGGAGTAAAGAAGAGGATTCTTCAAATAGGGGCAAGTTGATATCGTTTGTCAAACAAAAGGACGCTTTAAAAGAATAGATAATCCATATACAATACATACTTCTTTTATTATGGCAGTCTAAGAATACACATACACACACGCACAAACACACAAATTTGATTACCAGTTGTAGAATGGTTTGGGGTTATAAATAGGCTTTGTTTCGTTCAAAGGCGTCCAAACCTTCTTGGTCTTTTTCCAACCTCTGATGTTTCTCTTGTCCAATTTTGATGATTCAGCAACAGCAGATGCTTCCTTGAAAAGGAATGTGATATGTGCTTTCTTTACTTCCTTGACACCAAATTGACCACGACCATGAGGGTTCACACGTTTCTGATATGTTCCCTTTCCAACCCAAGCTTGAGCTAGAGAATAACAAGTTAATTCATGTTGAAACAAGAGAGATTGCATATATATTTACCAACAACCATGTTTTGCATTCCTTTTTGATCTGCAGCATTCTTTTTTGCAAATGCTAAATTGTGCAAGATCTTTTTAGCTGCACGCTTATCTGAAAATTCCATTTGCTTTATAGCTTCATCAATAGGTAAATTGCGGATTTGGCGAGCAAGCATGTTTAGCTTTCGTGGGCTAACTAAGAAGTCAGCAGAAGAGAATGTGTACTATAAAAAAGGAATAAGCTGTTGTTGACAAAAGAATAAGAAGGGATTATACTTGTTTTTCAACATGTTTATCTTCTTGTTCAATATTTTTTTCTGCTTCAATTTGAACATTTTCAAAGAGACTGGAAGCTCCAACTTGTGGTCTCTCTGCCTGTAATGGTTCATCAGCTGCTCTCCATGCTGAAGTAGAGAAGCTATTAAAAATGTTAGGTTGAATTCTTGAGTGATCTAAATAATATACCTTGCTGTCAAGGATCGTTTAATAAGCTGAAGTCGCTTAAAGGATGAAGCTGCAAAAAAAATTTTTTTTTTCTGTTAGAAGAGAAAAAGAACAAGTGATTGTGATCAAGAATGATGTTTACTTAATGATTGTAGCGACATGATTTATCAAAGTGACAGAGAGGAAAAGGAAAAATGTATGAGAAGGGGGGACCCATTTTTTAGGATAAATTATGTGACAGCGCTTTTTGTTAGGCATTGGATCCTTCAACAGGTGAAGGATCATCACAGATCGATTTTTCGGGTATAGGGATATTGTCAGATATTTGGCCAGTAGAGGGATCAACCCTTGCCATCTTGCAGACACGAACAGAGTGTAATTGAGATAAAGAAGGAATGAAAGGTAATATCTGGTACTTGAGTACTCCACGTATGGTCAGTTCATAAGGATAACGAATGAGTAAAGACCTAGGAACAATTGATGTTGGTTTGCATTGAAAATACAGTTACACACAACAGATACTTACCATCGTTCATTACCACTCATATCATCCTTAGTTGCTCCAGGATTCTTTATTTGAATCTGACTTGTGGCTACACTTACTGTAGCATTAAATAATGTGCCTGATTGATAGATAAGTGGATCTTCGAGATGATAAATAGTACCAAGGAATTCTGCAGGATCAGCACCTAAATAAGTGACATTATTATCTAGGGTCGTTGGGACATAATGGCTAGAAGCGAATACGCTGAATGCAGCAGTCGTCATGGTAATCGTCCACCAGTTACTATTTCTATTTTAATAAGAAAAGGATGGATTTACTTTAGCTTTTCATGAATTTATTGTTGTACTGTATATGTCTACCTGGCTCTGACGTGCAAATTAAATATTAACTCTTTTTGAGTGCCTAATACATTGGATATTCCCACTACCTCGACATCATTCAACGGACTTGCACACATGACGATAATAAGCCAAGTGAAGCAAATCGTGAACAAAATACCCAAGAATAAATACAGGTAAGAGAGCCACTTCTTTTTCCTGATACATAAAAGAAAGGGTGTAAAGATAAAGACATAAAGATCTAAATAAGATAGATGACTAACCTCTTTGTATGGTTATTCATAGGTTTCCGTCTACGGGCATGTCTCAAAGTATATTCCTCATCACCACTTTGGTTGATATGTGAATTGTAATAAAAAGTATTGTACAGAGGTCTAATCTTTCTTGCACTGTTGGTATCCTTGATAGATGTTGGTATCTCAGAGACAGTAGAACGTAATACTGGACGTCTCGAAGGTAGTTTTTCTTTGTATGCAGCTGAAGAGGATTCACAGCCATCGGTGTCAGTTGATGAATAATAATAATAAGGTTGTTGGGGATGATTATGTTGGTAATAAGGATAGTAGTAATGATGATCAAATTCGTTATTCCAATGATTGTATTTGGGCTTATCTCGATAAACGTACACTTCGAGGTCATCGGAATCTAGAATAGAGTGAGTTTAGATTATATTAAACGAGGTATAATAACCTTCTGCGTCCATGACTGCATCACTCAAATTTTGAGCAAAGATATCAGTAGGATTCATAAAACTACTCGATATGTTTGCTTTTTTAAATTTTCTTTTGATAGATCTTGTAGATTCACTAGCTGATATGCCATTCTAATAGCAACAAGTCTGTCAATAGGATAAATATAATAAATGTATGTTAAAGTTACAAACAGTTAGTGGAGGTGCTTGTTGCTCAGGGAATACTGCATTTTCAACAATAAGCTTGGAATCTTTACTTGGTTTTGTTGTTAATAGTATTGAGTTTCGGGAAATACTCTTTTTTAATGTAGGCATGGCTGGTCTTTTATCTTCATTGGAATGAACTGAGCTCATGCAGGTAAAAAGAAGAGAAAAAGAAAAACAAGAGGAAAAGGAAAACACAAGATTCTGGGTCATTGCCACGTGAGTGTGACATTACGATAATAGTAATAATAATAATGATGATGTGTGTATAGTATATGGACTGATAGGAAAGACAAGACAGTCAATAAAACAACTCTATGATTGGCTAAAATAAAGAGATAGACCGCATCCATCAACACAATGAATTACCATTCACAAAAACCATTCACGACTATACCCAGACAGGAAATGTGAACTAAAGATTTTTGGTTGCACACAGTTCTTCAATCAAATTCCACATCGGTCGTTCAATTTAATAGTACAGAACAGTGCCTTCCAAAAAGTTTTTGCCATTTAAGGTGTAGTTGAGACTTGTAGAACAATCTATGGTAGGCCCCCAGAACTTGAATATATAGTCCCATTCAGAGCTATCGATGAGTGATGCAAACAATCCAGTCTGGAGCCTCGTCAGGAGTAAAACTTGCAGCATAAAATGTATACAGAAGGAGATATCGTTGTTTTCAGGTTTGAGTTTATGGTCATAAGCCCTTTCTAATGATTTGACTTCTTTTTACATTTTGAGCCAGTTAGTCTCATTTGTACTTCTTTTACTATATGACTTGAATACGGGTTAGAGTATTGGCTTGATATGAGCGTAAATGCTTGTGTCATAACTCTTTGGACTGTATTTTCTGGGAAGCACTACGTGCACCAGAAAACACACCAGAAAACACACCAGAAGTTAGACTATTCCTACAGGCGCTGCCTCTACACATTATCTGTGATGCTGCTCAACAAAGCTTTTCGATCATCTTGGTTTGTGTTCTTTTCAAGAAGATAAAGAGATAAAAAAGAAATTTGTTTATTCTAATTTTATGCTGTCAGTTTGATTAACAAACATGCAAGAGCACGTGTAATTATGATGCATTCACATTTTGTATCAGAGGAAGTGAACTGGACAGTCTTAGGTTAGGCAGAGACTTTAGTAGTGTGAAGCTGTATAGAAACTCTACATGTAGTACCTCAAGGAAGCGCCCGTAGCATTAGCCTTCTCGTAAAATTCCTTGTGCGCGTAGTGCTCACTTCTAAAAATCCAATAAAAGAAGGCTGCCCATTGGCATAGCATAAAAAAACCGCTCATTGAGATCAAATATTCCGCCCTTTAATTTAAAAAACTGCCCTTTGGCGTTGCGACTGCTGTACAAAAATGATCAGAAAACAAGACAATCAGGCTTTGTGTGACTCTACCAGCCAAAACCCTGTGCTTGTTGTTGCTGTGTTTGTTGATCTTCTTTGAATGCAACTAAACCAATCAAGATACCGGCAATAAAGAAGACCAAACTGATCAAAAACCAAAATACACCCCACACTCTACTTGACATACATGATCCACACACCTGAGCAAACTTTGCAGCGTCAGACTCATGCAATTTTCTAAACACCAAATCGTCCAAAATATCCCACAGACAATAAAGACATGACATCACACCAACAAATAACACAAAGTACTTTAGCCCTGCGCCATGTGCCAGCCACCAGAGAAAGACCATGATGCCGATAAACAAGAGACCAATACCTCGCGTCAGCCAATTCTTAGCCCACCATAAAGTAAATAATAAACAAACACCTAAAATGATGGAAGCTACCTTGGAAGCAAGTATATTAAATCCACACGCCACAAGAACAGCTCCGATGAGAGATGAGCCTAGATAACCTGCTGGTAATGTGCACATAGGTATACCCCCTCTCTTTTTCATATAGCAAGGTAGATATGTTATTGATGGCTTAGTTTTCTCTCCTTTTATATATAAACTTACCATACGAGTGACACCTCCTTCATCTGGATCTATTTCAATTGCCTCTATTTTAGCACAGGTCAAACAGCCTATGAAAGCATGCGAAAATTCATGTAAGCCAACAGTAAGCAACTAATAGATATAAATGCTACTGTCAACGTCTTTTTTACTTTTCTTTTCTTTTTCTGGTTACTTTAAATGGTGACAAGACTATCTTGGCTATTGGCATATTCCATAATATTAAAATAGCAGCTGTGTAAACTCCAATGATGATCAGTGTTATTTTTTGATCTTGTGTTGGTGTAAGACTATTGACAGCTGAATCAGCAACTGCTTGTCTTGCTATCAGGTAGCGTTCATAACTATTATAGGCTAATGGTGGCATAGTTGTTTATTGCGTGATGTATAATTATGTACAATAATGTTTTTAAACAAAGAAAGAGAAAGAAAAGAAGATAAAAACAAAAGCGTTTCTATATTTAAACAATAAATTGCGCACTAGGTTTATTTTGGCGTACCTGAAGTTCTTGGCTTCTTTAATTTCTAAACAAAGAAATTATATCGGAACATGAAATATATTTAAAACTTTCCTTTTTAACAAAAGCTACAATCTTTTCAGGAAGTCGCATTTTTGCAACTTGTATAATACAATTTATACGAAGAAGCGACAAGTCAGCGCGACATATCTTTTTGGAAATGGTGTAGAGTTGACAAAGACAGATCAAAGAATGTTCTACATGGCTTTTTATTAACGATTTCCTTTGAGGCCATCGCACTCACGTATTCAAAAAGGAAATCGAAGCATTATTTACCAATATTAGAGAGGATATCCTATAAGAATCGCGCAATGTACCCTTAAGAGTCACGTCCCGAACTTTTCTTTTTCATAAATCACTGCTCATAAATGTTTGTCAGGTAATCTCATCTAGATATTCTGCAACCACGAATTGGCAGCCCTAACTTACATTTTGGCCTTGAGTAAGTATCACTCTAGTACCATAAAGGCTATCGCAGCTGATTTACTATATGATTAGCCGCATCGTTGTCCTCAGAACCAATGAGTTACAATCCTGAGTTCAACGATCAACACTATATGACACTCACAAGAATAATTGCCAGTCTCAACTTGCCAATTACAACAAGATAACAGTCCATCCTTGAGCAAACAGTCATGGTTGTCGACATGGACTATGGTCCAAGGCAACTTATCCGTAGTATCACCAACTGAATAAGATTTTGTAGGCTTTAGTTTCTCTTTGGAGTCTAGTTGCTAATAGATAAATAGGTTAATTTGTAAAAGCAGCTACTTGCTGACAGTTCAATTAGAGGAAAAGGAGGCTGTGTGTGTGCATGTTTAATAAAAAGCGTTACATATAATTTAAGGTTATAATATCAATTGTTGGCGGCTTCATATAAGAATCCACAGCAATAAGCTACCTGCTATGTATTCCCAAAGTGCGTCATTCATGGTACCAGCTTTGAATTCTGCTTATAAAATAATATTCGTTCTGCGCTCTGAAGGGTAACATATTCTCTTCAGTATATCCTTACGAATACAAGATGACTCTTTTTCTGAGATCTCTGGTGCCTATCATACATTTATTCCTTGCTTTCGGTCTCGGGCACTATTCTTAGATGTAAATAAAAGCTTCCCTTTATATTGGTTCGCTCATAGACCAATGACAACCGACAAGGAATCCCCAATTGTCTAATCTTAGAATATCAAACTGAAAGGAGCTGCCTGCTGAAATCCTGTGCGAAAGATTGAAGAAACTTAGAATGCACAATATAGTGAAATGTCAGTTCGTCTGCAAGAACTGGCAAAAATACGCAAGTTTAATCCTTTATCGTGAACTCAGTTTTCGAAAACGCTTGAAAGTCGAAAAATTCATAAATGCATGCAGAATAGTAGCTTGGGAAGCCTGGTCAAAGAGATTACGTTTTGGTGTCCAGATTACGATGAAAAGATAGTTTCACTTATCTATAACCTCACCGAGACGTGTCCAAATGTACAGATATCTAAAGGCAATCTTCATGTCAGACATTGGGGTGCTCTTGGAGGAGCTGTAGGAAGTTATTGGAAACAGTTAAAGCAACTTCCTGAGCCACAATGGTCTATGAGCAGTGATTTGAATGTTTTTACGAATTATTATACGCTTGCATCCGTCTGCCACAATACTCTCACTCATGTCACTTTACCACCTATACCGCCGACTAGGTCACAATTTAAAATAGTTTTTCCTCTGCTACCATTCTTCATAAACCTGACACATCTGATAGTTAATTCTGACTATAGTAGCTCTACCCTCATGGTCTACGATGAGGTTATTCAGCAATGTCCTAATTTGATGTGTTTTACATTAGACTCTAACCTAAATATAATTTACGGGGATTATGGCGACACGAAACGTTATGATGTATTTTCTATGCAACCTCACCTCAAACTTACAAAAACTTGTGGTAGAAAGGGAACTTCATCAAGATACGTTTGACTATGTCATACACAAGTTTCCCAATCTGGGATGTTGTAATGTACATTTGTCTGTTGATGATATTCTTAACCGTATTGGTCCCTGGATAACAAGTCACTACGAAGAAAAGCTGCGCAAATTCTTGGAGCACCTGAGCAGCAGAAGATGCGACTGGCTCTTCACTTATGTAAATTAGAAATGCAACTGTTTTATTAAAATAATAATCTTGTTTAGTAGTACGTATGGTGTAAAGTGTCATTATGCTGAGAATAGGCAGTCTCTAGGTTCTCGTAGTTATTCATGCAAGTAAAAGCTAGTTGCTTTGAAGCTAAACGAGACTTTAAGCACGATGTGTAGAATAACTTTAATAAAAGCACATATTCTACATGTTTATTTGAAAGATACGTTAAAAAAGAGAATATAACACAATTGGTTAGTTAAATTACAGAGCCACGGACAGAAGAGTATATCAATGATGTTGCAATACTTGAGCCGTCAATGTTAAGGTTGGTTGCTCTTCGTTTTCTATTATCCAACGCCTCATACACTATTTTCATAGCTTCTTTACCCCTCCATGTCAGTCCTAAGAATAGGGACAAAATCAACTGACATAACTTCTACAGTGGACGGGAACTGGGACTTGGATGCTCTTGGTGTCTTTGTAATATGTTGACCCAATAGGTACTCACACAACAACAATCTCCATACTTAATCCTGAAGCTTGCATTATTAAATATTTCCCTATTACCGTTATATTTTTGCTTACTCATTAAGAAACCAGTACTTGCAAGATTGTTCATTTGCTCAGGGCCCTTCTGCGTCAACAACAAAAGTATGTCTCTTAAGGTTTTGGGCAGTTTGGTTAGGCCGTCATCAAGGTATTTGCTGTCTGTTACTACGACCTTGTCTCGTCCTACTTCACAAGTACCAAGCCCGATATTAGATCTCTTGAATAGGATATCTACTTGGGTATCTGTGGCTTTTCTTGATATCCTGCCTTTTGCTTCCGGCCCTCTTTCCTTATTTCAGATAAGAGAAACAGCCACATTTGTTCTTTCATCGAACAACGCCCTGACATCTTTGCTCTTGAAGTACCTGCACACAACGAGTCAGAGTTCATGCAGAAGACTGGCCTTGGAGTAGTCGTTGAGCTCAAGTACATCATTATAGAGAAGCAACTCCGACATTCTGGGTATGCTGTCTCCTTTCCACTTTTTGCTGAATTCTTCTATAGGATCATACTTTTGGCTGTCTGAAAATTGGTACACGTCTTTGCCTGATGTCCAAGCTTTATCATGTGGGTTAAAGCAAACTTGCAGCTCAGTCGAGGCACCTGGCAGCTGCTTCAATCTATACTGACTAATCACGTTCAATTCAGCATGAGTGAAGCATTTCTTCCAAATAAAAACATCAGGATTAATTAGTACTGAATGCACTGAGTACCCAGATTCTTCAACAAGTTGTTTTATTTGGTTATCAACAAATTTCCTGATCGATATTGTTCATTTTTGGTTTGTTGCAGTTGGAGCTGGCTGATCAAGTGGCCGTCAGCTGCTTTTACAGCAGTCTTGGCATTTCTTTTCCAGTAATCTCGGTAACACTTGTAGCTTGACTTTGGTAATTTTTTTGTTTTCAATGGTGTCTCTCCAAGGCACTCTTTTGTCTTTGTTGGCTATCTTTAAATTTGAAGAAGCAGCTTATTATTTAAACAGCGCTTTTTATTTATAATATTAATATTGTATTTTTAACAAACTAGAATAGTTCTTGCATTTTTGTTCCATGTAAAATGCTGTCAATTTCATGCAAAAGAAAAGAGAACGACGCTCAATGTAATCATGTATTATTTTTTAAGAATTAGAAAAGGCACTGCTACCTTAGAATCTGCATAAAATAGGTAACTAATGACCTAAGAGAAAATAAAAAGGGAGAAAAAGAAGCCTTTGCTGGATCTGTTGTAGTGAAAACACAACACATGAGCGAAATAGGCAAGCGAAAGCTGGTGAAACCTTTTTCCAAAATTAATTTTTACTGGACGGAAAAACTGCCGGTTAATTTTCGCCACTGTATTCTGCTTGGTTACATTTAACCAAAAAAGGAAAAGCACACTATCAATCTCGGACAATAGAACTTCTGTCAAAAGATCGTTCCGACTGACTCAAAAAATTTCTGTAGAACGTCATAGCCGGGTAAGCTCTAAGCAAAAAAGTCATTGGGGTAATATAAATAGACCACAGATCTATTGATTCATCTCTCTCACTCTCTTTTTTCAGTCAAGACAATAATGCTCTTGAGCAACATTTTATCAACGAGTAAATTCACTTTATATATTTACAGGCTTGTAATCTAATGATCATTTTTAGGCATAGGATTGCTATTTGCTGTTGGCGTTGCCGCACAACAAGATCAAAATTACAGGGTCGACTATAATGTTATTAGCTTATTGAACCAGACCACATTCAAATCAATGGCAGTAGTGATTGACAACATCAGTTACCCCTTGGAGGTCAATAAGACATTCCCGATTCTTTATTCCGGAAAAGGACCATCGGCTCAAACGGGCTACCACTATGCAAAGGTATACAACAATGATAGTCTTCTTCTGGAGCCTTTTGTACGTCAGCCTGTCAATCAAAGTACACCTCATGAGTTCTTCAATCGATCTTGGAATACGCATGAAAGCAAACAACTCCCACAGGTTTATCCTCCTTTGGATGCCATCCATCGCATCCATTCAGACCTACATAGAGACAATGAAATACCTACTATTCATATCACAGGCAACCAGACCTTAATAGATCAAATGAACCGCAATACCTCAGCTGACATCTCCGTCCCCTCCAATATTTCTTACCTTTCACTTCGCGATGCTTTCTATTTTGAAGATGTAGAGATATCCTTATCCGGTCGAAGTTCTCGTTGGATGCCCAAACTATCCTATAACCTGAAACTGAAGAAAAAGGACGATCTGTATGGTTACAGGCGCCTTAAACTCCGTGCACTCTATACAGATCCATCCTATATCCGTGAGAAACTCGCCTATGACATCATAAAGTCAGTCGGTCTTGTCTCATCAGAGTTTTCTTATGTCCGCGTCTTGATGAACGATCAAGAGCTTGGTCTATTTGGTATCATTGACACTTTTAAAAATCCCTGGTTGGCAAACGTGTTTGCAAATGGTAGCTCATCTTACAAGAATGGTTACCTTTACCAAGGTGTGTTTGCAACACCCGAATCTTCTGCACAAAACCACACGTCTGATCTTTCCTACATAAACAACATTACTGCTTATGGAGATGGGCAATATAAGATCAAAGAGGAAGCTTCCAAGGGAAAGAAGGAGGATTGGGAACCTTTGATGAAGTTTACAGAATTTGTTGCTAAGGCACCTACAAACAGTTCCGATGCAGTTCACAAGTGGAATAAGGAGCTCGACACAGACTCATTTCTCCGATCGTAAGTAAAAAATGAAGGGAAAGTAAACTTAAAGCAAGCGTACTGACTGCTATTTAGTATGGCCCTTGAAGTTCTATTAGGCTATTCTGATGGTTACTTGACTATGGCAGATAATTACTATCTTTACCAAAATCCTGATACCGACAACTTCTTCTATATCTCATCTGACATGGATCTCACTATTGGCAGTACCATGTTCAAACTTGACAAAATGTGGAGTGGTAACTATAGTAATTTTCCACAAATTTATTCTCGTCCAGTGATGAAGCAGATCTTGCAAGTACCCGAATTTAAGGAAAGATATAACCAATTGCTTCAAAATATTACTTCAGAGCTCATCAACCCTAATGTGACAGCTCCTTTTATTGATAATATCGTAGACATGATCAAAGAAGATGTAGCTTGGGACCAATCACTACCTCGTACTGGCAACAATCTCTTTGCAGGATCATTTGACAACGCACAAAATAATAGCGAAGTTACCGACGCTATTGGTCAGATCCCTCCTGGCTTTGATATGGATACACTAATGGACTTTGCTAAACGTATGAATGAGACTATTCCCTTCGAAACGGCTGTAACTGGACCCACGGGACACACCTCGTTGACTGGAATCAAGGAATGGTTTAATGCTGTATATCAAAACACGACACGATTTTACTCTCAATAAGAGAAATATGTATTAATATAGACTTTTTATTGAATAAAAATGTAATGAGTAGCTTTTAAATCTTTATCATATTAAAAAAAGAAGACAAATATTTTATGTATGCGCAGCATGTTCAAACGAACTTCATCGCTTTCTTTAGTTTTCGATTTTCTTACGTAACCAATGATACTATATCAATCCTTCTTGAAAGATTGAATCGTCTGCTGGTACAATGGTAATTGTTCGACAATGAAATTTACAATATTCGCTATCATATATCGTATGATTGAATGAATGTAAATAAAAAAAACATATGTGCCTTACCTATATACTTTTCCTTTAGCATGAACAATGGGCGCGAATTAAGATGTTACTTTATCAACAGAGCTTTTCTTCTTTTTGTGATACTGCGCATGAAATCAGTGCCTTTCCCTGAACACCATTTTTCAAGGCCAATAGGATTTTTGTCTTGAAGCAAATACGAGTTTATTCCAAACGTAGGCAAGAACGTCACTCATAGAACGCAAACGGTTTCATACACCTCATCATTGTGTGGATTATCAGGCACAAAAACTGCATTAAGAAATTGAACAAGCCCTGCATGACTGTCTAAGAAAAAGTCGACGTTTAGTGAACTATCTGATATGTACAGTTAATTTCTTACTCACTGATGAGTTACTGTTCTTCTTTCTCAATTGCATTAATGCTGGCTATTGATTACCGTGTTTGATGCTTGTAGTATAGGAATGGGTTTTGATTGATGACCCTTTTGCTTTGAATAAATGGCTTTGTTGCATCCTCCGCACAACAGATTTCACCATTACTGACGAAGGCTAATATTCACCTTGGCCATACCTTTGATCACGTGTTGTTCTGAAAGCTTCTTTAAGGTATTGTGGCTTCTGATTATTATAGAGACCGTGAATGACTTGCCAGTGTTGGTGTTTTTGAACACGAAAGAAGTGGTCAAGAATTAATGGACAGCTTTTCGAAATGTATGCATTGCCGCACATCGGTTCAGGCTTTGACTCCACCCTCATCAAATTTAGGGTACCTGAATCTACTCATGAGATCTACACTGTCTAGATTCATTTCGAAATGCAATCTTAGCCATGTTGCTAACTCCAATTTTCGACAGCCAGCCTTATCATTCTGAACAAGTCAGTGTAAGTCAGTTTGAATTTAAAGAAATTGCTATTATTATTATTATTTGTATTATACTGCTGTATCTCTTTGATTGTAAATACTTTGAAAGTATAAATTATCTCGCTGTGCAAGTAATTAGCGTCTATCATTACCAAAATCGTCAACTTCTTTAGTTAATTTCTTTGGCATTAACTTTGTCATATTCCTTGCAGAAAAACATGCATATCGCTTATTCTCTAGTAATGGTGCTCATATTAAAAGATATAACAAAACAATCGAGGGATAGCAATTGCTTGTTTCACTTGGAGAAGTTACATTAAGTTTGAATTATTATTTGTAAGGTAAAATGTGTAAAATTAAAGTGGAAAAGCCAATATATTATGTATGCAAAACATGAGCATGTTTGGGCTTGTCTATTGCTATATCGGAATCACCTAATAGGGTGCTACTTTCCTCTGACATATCCTTTTCTTCCTATTTTAATGAAATGCTCAGCATATAATTCCCAAAGGTAGCTTTATATTACCTTTGTTATAGTACAAGAATCTGTCAATATTTGTAATTTGCAATCTGGTTTAGTATAGTCAAACGTCTTGAAACTCTGCTCAAGACGTATTTTTTCAGCATAATAGCTATCCTCTGCTGCTATTATGGCCAATTCATCATTAGACATGCTCTTCTTTGGTAGTGCTGCTCTTTTCCTGACTTTCAATGGGTTCTCCTCAAGCAATACCTCCTCTAATTCATGAGTTGGATCAAAGTTGGATTTATTTTCCTAGAAATAACAGAGACATTAGACGTAGTTCGCGCCAAGGAGGTGATTAAGCCTTACATCTGGTATGAAGGGTGCTCCCACTGTTTTGGAATGAAGTATATCCCAGCACATACCGCTTACCCACGCATGACTCTTGAGTCTTTTAAATCCTACTTCATTTACACCCATTCGTCGAGACACATCTCTTGTAAGCAACTCTTTGATAAAGCTGATTGCTTCTTGAGACACCTTGGGTTCCTTGGGGAACTCGATCGGATCATGCAGAATGGATCTTTGCAATTCTTCATTTGATTTTCCTTGAAAGGGTCTCTATGAATGAATATTTTTTTTTATATATAAATAGGAGACAATTTTACTAGTTTCACTACTACCTTTCCATAAAGTAGTTCATACAGCAAAATACCTAGTGACCACCAGTCTACTGAGTACGAGTATCCTTGCTTCTTCAAGATTTCTGGTGCGATATATGCCATACTGCCAGCGATAGATGTCAATGTCTTGTTTTTTTTATTACCAAGTTGAGCTGCAATGTTGAAATCTGTCAGGTGAGCATGTCCTTTTTCATCCAGCAGGATATTATCAGGCTTGATGTCTCTGAGAGCATTATAAGTAAGAAAGTAAGTATACATTCTATGTGTATATACCGATGAATAATTTGCTTGCTGTGAAGATAATTCAAGCTCAACGCTAATTCAGCTGCATAAAATCGAACATAATCTTCTGGTAATGTTCCTAGTCTCTCTAGATGAAAGCGCAAGTCACCTCCTAGCATCAGATCAAGAACCATAAATAAATTCTCGTCATCCTGAAAGGCATATCGCATGTTTACGATAAGATTATAATCGATGCGTTCGAGAAGTCGCCTTTCAGAAATGATGTTATCAACTGCTTTCATTTGTATGCATTTTTCCTTGTTGATGTATTTAAGCGCGTATAGTTTTTTAGTGCCCTTGTGTTGAACAACTCGAACTTTTCCAAATGATCCTTTTCCAACGGATCGTAATAACAGAAAATGAGATAACTCGACTGTGGCAACAACAAAAAAAGAAAGATAAGTTTCTTTATTTGGTTTATTCTCGTAATGCTTACCTTCACCAAGTAGATCAACAGGTTCTTCTTTGCAACAAGCAACTCCCATTTCGTCCTTTTTGTATATATAAAAAACGAGAAAGAGAAAGAGAAAAAAGAAGGCTTGAATTGGTTCCTAATTTTTGTGTATGCATATGATACGCTCAATCTGTTCTGTATGCGTTTAAGGAGAAAAAAAGTCCGTTGGCAACACAGAAAGCCCCCCTCTCTCTCTTTCTGTCTCCCCTCAAGAAGCTTGAACAAGTTTTTAAGCTTATTTCTATAAAAGGCAAAGTCCTACACAACCCTTTCTTGATACTCTTTGAAGACTCTTTCTTACTCCTTTGTTATCTCTCCTAACTTGGATCTCATCCCTCTTTTTTGATTTAACAAGGGCACAGAATTTCTTAGTTCAATTTAAACAAGCCTCTTTTTCTTCTTCTTCTTCTTTTTCTTCTTGGTGATACGCTCACACGTTCATTGTTGTTTTGCACAAGGTTGAATGATGTATATATGATTCCTTATAATTGTATCACTACACTACATTAATTGAAAAAAAGAGAAAGAGAAAAAAATAAATAAATTGAAATTGGTGCTAGAACAACGACACATAAACCTTGATTGTTGTAGCTACGTAAAATTTCCTGTAACTCATACTTTTTATGGAAACAGCTGCTTTAAAATATGATTTATTTTTTTTTAAAAAAAGCTCCATATTACGCATTATATCCGTTCTTTCTTTTTCTATATTTTATTTATCTTTTTACATGTTGAAATCTATTTTAAATGATTCAAGATTAACCAAGGAAGGAGTATTTTCAATTGTTCTTTTACCACCTTATTCAGATGAACCTTACACCTTTGATTATTTGGGTAGGTGTAACCTGAAAATGAAAACGAGATCTAACTTTGGACATTAGCTCGTCATGTCGTTCATGTCTCCTTCTTGGAGCCAACAGGAGATAACGGAACCAGCACACCATTAGAGAAGAAGGAAGAGAAGGAACAGTGGCTAACTACTATATCAGGAAATACATTGAGATCCAGCCACGGGTGTATCATTGCCACTTGTAATAGTACCTACATTAGAGCAAACATTGTATATACCAGACTACTGCATAACAACAATGGACAATGTACGCATTTATTACTCTATCTGGATAAGGATATCATGATAGATCATAATGCACATGTAAATAAGGTAAATTATATCCAATGGGATGTGTCACATGTATCTAATCATGATGTAGACTCATAACTCACAGTAAGATAATGCTCTTTGGAACTTGTAGAATGATTCTTATTTATCTTTAGTGCATTTAAGACAATGATTCGAGAATTACGACATAAAGATGATATTATACCTATTATAGATTCACTTGTCCTAAACTTTTGTGAAACATCTGTAAGCTGTAATTCATTGACAAGTCTGCACAGCTGCATGAAAGATACCTTGAAGGCGGGATACCATGTACTTATTTTGTTTGGATGTGTTCATCATTATTAACTTTATCCTATAGATAATTCAATCCTCACGATCAATCACCAAGACAGATGCGATCTATGCAGCATTTGAGAATTACATTATGGAAGAGACATATGATGCTGCGTTCTTCAAGATAGCCCAATTATTATTTGACGAGGACAGAAAGTTGACATCCGCACTAGATGAATTACAATATTTAGATTTTACACAGATTGGATTACCAACGTACATTAAAGATGAAAGGAGACAGGTACAGCGAGCGACAGTCATATTTGAAAAGATTGGGTCATTCAGAACACCGTCTGATAAGTTGGATTGTTTACTACATACGATATCTGAATTGACAGGTCAAGATGAATACTCTGTGGGCACAGATGCTCTAGTTCCTCTGCTTTTGATGACCTTGATCAGAAGTAAAGTACCACACCTCACCGCCAATTTAGTCTATATGAAGGTAATAGCAAAACGATATAAAAAAACTCAGATCATCTAAAAAGAGTCTGTTTTAGGATTACAACTTTGAAAGGGATATCACAACCGGCCGTTGTGGTTACGCACTCAGCACACTAGAAGCAGTACTAGACTACATACTAAGCTCAACTATATCAGAACTTTCTTGTCAGAATGAAATTCTGTGGCGACTTATCATGTTGGGGGAATTAGAAAGCTTCAAGAGATATTATTCGGCAGGATCATTCCAACGTCGCGATAAAGATGGAAATAATGCACTCTTACTAGCCTGTATGCACGGGCAAGCTGACATACTCGAATACATTATAACACAGGAAGGGATAAAAGAGACAGATATAAACGATACCAACATGACGCCCTTGATGTATGCAGTCAAGAGTAAATCACACCGCACCGTCGATATTTTGCTGCAGCATGCACAGGTACTATCCACACTGAATCAACGCGATGAATATGGGTACACAGCCATACTGCACACATCCAGCACAAACGACCTTGCTATGCTCATACGCTTGGTGCCCCATATTGATACAGAGAAACAACTAGTGAATGACTGTACAGGCGATTCGATATTACACATTGCTGCTTTGAACCACTGTTCTACAGACTTTATATTTTACTTGCTCGATATCTGTCAACAACTGAATATGCAACACTTGGTTCACTGGAAAAACAAGCAAGGCCAAACATTTTACCATGTTTGCAGAGACCATACCCTGATCAAATCGCTACTCTGTCAAAACCGAATCGACCTGGATTATATCTTTAAAGATACTGACAAGTTGGGTCAATGTCCGCTTATGACCTGGGCATCTCTCGGTCGACTCGATCTACTTGAATTATTTGTGGGTCGAATGGACAATCAGCAGATTCAAGCAGCGGATCATGACGGAAGGACGATATTACATCTACTTGCATTACGACTTCGCAAAGGACTCACCATGGGAGAGAAAAGCCTCGACTTTATTGTGGAGCAGTTTAAACATTTAATTCATGCTCGAGATTGGCCAAATGGTAATACGGCTTTACATCTCGCAGTCGAAACAGCCGTACTAGCTAATACAAAGAATACTATCACATTCATCAAGGCAGTCCATCGTCATGGAGGACAGCTGGATGTCATGAATAGTCGTGGAGAGCAACCAGTAGATATGAGTCGAGTTTCAGAAGTAACATTATTTCTTGATGGTATCGTATGGACCACTTTATAATATATATGCACACAAATAATAATATACATATATAGAGTTCATACTGAACACAAGCTTTGATTGTTCGCCTAAGCGTTATTCCACTTTAGGCTATGTCTGGGCCGTCACACGGGGTAATTTTAAAAAGAAGGATTCAAATATCGAATTTGTGATCAAAAGCGGACAGGTAAGGAAAAAAAAAAAAAAAAAAAAAAAAAAAAAAAAAAAAAAAAAAAAAAAAAACACTTGGGAAATAGATATTAAAATGAATAAAGGCAGGACGACCAGAGACAATGAAGACGGTTAAAAGGAGTGTGTGTGATTTTCTCCTTTTACGAAATGAGCTCCAATACGAAATGCCGCATGTGTTCTTACCGACCCTGAGTGACATGATCGATCTATCACGCATTCGTCTTGACCCAGTTCCATTTTTATTGGTAAATACTGTTCTACAACGATTACAGTCCTTTATGAGCTGGTTACAACATCACCCTGTCCTTTGTTACCACGATCTCGTTCTGTCATTTGTTCGGTCTTCAGCCAAATTAGAACCAAGTGTCATTCGCAGTCATTCATTTTCAAGGAGACGATTGATCCTAGAAAAACTTTCCGATTCAGTCCCTGTATTGTCGAGTATGATGAACATGAGAGAACAAGAGTATTTCTTTAAATATATTCAAGATGCCGTCAATCCGCTGAGAGTAGATTATTTGAAAGCGCTGAATGCAGGTAGAAGGATGACTAGTATACGACAAGGTAATGATGATAAAAAGAAGAAAAGAGGTTTTTCTATTTATATTAAAGTGTATTTAGATTTACAAGTGGAACAATCAAATATTGTATCAACTCTTGAACCTGTTTTTGAGAGTAACCCAGATATTGTCGAGACGATCAAAGTCTGTGCAAATGCCATGTGTAATCATGCAGTAAGGACAAGGGATGACAAGTTTAAGGAGAAGGAGAGAAAGGCTGACTTTTAATTTTAATAGTCATTGTTACCTTTTTTGAAAGCGTGTCAAGTACGATATGACCTTATGGAAGGTATTGTGGTAAGTAAATAAAAAAGTGATACACAAGCAACTAAAAACAAATGATTAGCTTTGTTTACAAAACCCTGTCGATTTGATCAATAAAAGACAGATGATGGTTGAAATCATTGAAAATCAAAAAGAAAGACTAGGCAAATCAAGACATTTCTTGATAAACGGTAGAAAGATAGAACAAGAAAAGTACAAGGTGATAGAGGTGAGTTATACGTGTACTTGTGTGTGTGATATAAAGTGTAACAATAAGTAGAATATGGAAAAGGTCAATGAAATGGATAACCAGATTATACAATCACATCAAATAATATCAGATGAGTTGGCTCATTTTCAAGCTATTCATTCAAAAGAGATGATCAAGAATATTAAAGGGGTTGTAAAGAGCACATTGAAGATAGAACGATACAACCTTGCAATATTAATTCAATCACTTAATAAATTTTCCCATTTAAAGTATTACTTGTGTCTTGCCTCATACTTGTTTAAACTTTATTTTCTCCTTAAATCCCCCCTTGTTTTTTTTGTGATGTCTCCTTAAAAAAAGCTTATTATTACCAACCATGACAATCATCTTTTTTCTTTCTTCTTCTTCTTTAATCTTTAATAATAATAAACATGGGTTGTTGCCAATCGACTGAACAAGTTGAAGAAAAACAAAGAAATCAAGAGATTGATGCTCAAATAAAACGAGATAGAGTCACTATGCGAAAAGAAATTAAAATGCTACTCCTTGGTATGTAGGTTATATTAAGGGTCTTTGATGTACTAACATCATGATATGTAAGGTGCTGGTGAATCAGGAAAATCAACTATATTAAAACAAATGAAATTAATTCATGATGGAGGCTATACACCCGAAGAAAGGGAAAGCTTTAAAGAAGTCATATTCAGCAATACACTACAGTCCATGAGAGTCACACTGGAGGCGATGGATAATCTCGGTATCCCATTTAGGAATCCCGAGAATGAGCTGCATAAAAGGCTCATTATGGACGCTCCACCGCAGATTGACTATTTGGGCCATGAATTAGTAGAGGCTATTTCATCACTTTGGGATGATCTGGGAGTGCAGGAATGTGTCTCAAGAGCAAACGAGTATCAACTGAATGACTCTGCGAAATAGTAAGTTGATGTTTTCTTTGTGATATCTTCTTTACTCATTTTTCTTTAAAAAGTTACTTTGATTCTATCCTTCGTATAGGTCAACCTAATTATATGCCAAGTGATCAAGATGTCTTGAGATCAAGAGTGAAATCTACTGGAATCACAGAGACTACCTTCGTCATCGACTCACTTACATATAGAATGTTTGATGTTGGAGGCCAACGATCAGAAAGAAAGAAATGGATTCACTGCTTTGAAAACGTGACAGCCTTGATGTTCTTAGTGGCTATATCAGAATATGATCAAGTGCTATTTGAGGATGCAAGTGTGAATAGGTTACAAGAATCACTGACACTATTTGACTCCATCTGTAATTCGAGGTGGTTTATCAAGACATCCATCATCTTATTCTTAAACAAGATTGATTTATTTCAAGAAAAATTACCAAAATCGCCTCTATCACATTATTTCAATGATTACAAGGGAGGCAATAATTATGATGCGGCTTGTCAGTACTTGCTGGAAAAATTCGTTTGTTTGAACACTAGAGCGGATACAAAACAAATCTATACTCATTTAACTTGTGCAACAGATACAAAACAAATCAAGTTTGTCATGAATGCTGTTAACGATATCGTAGTTCATGATAATCTACGAAATGTTGGCTTATTGTAGTAATAATAACATTATATTTATATTCCCCCTTTCTCTTCTTATTTATGTATACTTATGTCTGTTTGTGTGTCTCTGTGTGTGTGTATAGTTATTAAAAAGATGATATTGTTTTCAAAAGATAAAATGCTTAAAGTAGTAGAAGTAATAGTCTATTTTATGTACATTCATGAATATTTTGTAATATTTCATTCTTTTTTAAAATGGCCTGTTTTCCTGTAAAAACCTTGTGCTCTCTCTTCTTATCTGTTGTATTGTTTACTTGTAAAAGATTGTCGTGTATCTTTTCGGAATCTCTTGGTAAGGTATAAATCTATACTATTGTTATCGTTATTGTTATCAGCTTAATCATCATCACTCTTACCCAGCCTTTCTTCTCCAACACGTCTAATAGCTGACAATAGGGCGAAGATACTCTCAATGTACTGACTGATCCAACCAGTACAAGTTTATGCTTTGCTCTTGTAATGGCTACATTTAATCGACGCCAGTCTCTTAATAAATCACCACACTAGATTATATAAGTATCAATAAAGTCTATTTACACAGCCATGATGTTTTCTTACATTTCCTTGAGTATTGCTTCGAACAAGTGAAATAATCACACAATCTTTATCTCGTCCTTGATATTTATCAATTGTTGCAATTTCAATATCAGTTTCTCCTTCAAAATAACGTGATATTGTTCTCAATTGCGATCTGTACACAGAGACAATAGCCAATTGCTCCTCTTTGACGCCACATCTTAACAAGGATTCTGTTACCTGATAGATCAGCTTTCCTTCTTTTTCATTGTGTAGATAACTTCCCCCAAACTCTCGGGCTTCATTGGCTGGAACTAGATCTGTGTTGACAAATACGACATGCTTTCTATGTACAAGCTGTGAGTATATACATACATTCATTTAAAGTGGATTGTATATTACCTTGGGTCGAGGACATCATGTATCCAGCAATTCGATTGGGGGTATATACATTGTTCATTTGACGCGTGAAGTAATTTCAGCTCATGTTCAAAGTGAGGTATAGATAAAGATTTTGTAGAAATTGAATGGTTACCGCATTTTAACTTGCCATCATAGACAAGTATATTGGCCACTTGCATAATGTCCTTGTTCATGCGGTATTGGTATTCTAAACGACTGATAGACTCAGGATGAGCCTCTGCTAATATAGCAAATAAAGACTTTTTTAACCCCTTCTCACCAGCCTGTGTATCACGCACGATAGGCGGGAGTTGATATAGGTCACCCACTAGAATAAACTTGTCTGCATATCGAATAGGACCTATACACATGGGTAGAGTAATCTGAGATGCTTCATCAATAATGCAGTAATCGAAATGTCTTTTTTGCAACATTGCGCTTTACAAAGGTGGTTAGCTTTGAAACCTGGGTTATAGTATATGTGTCACTTACTGTCCAATACCAAGGCAAGTGACTCCAACCACTCTTTTAGAATCATAAAATATTTTCATCTCTTCTACTGTTGTTATATTTCTATTAAGAGACGGCACACAGTCTTTCATGCTTTGCATCACCTTACATTAAAAACAGGTTAGTAACGGGGCTGTATATCAACTTTGACTTCTTACTTTATCAATATTTCCTAATCTCAGTACGTCAATTCCTTGATCACGAACTTTTGATAACACATTATCTAATGCAGTATGAGTAAAGGCTGTCACTAGGATTGTCTTATTCATTCCAACAAGGTATTTTATGATCTCTGCCGTCGTGGTTGTTTTACCAGTTCCGGGCATTCCTAGAATCAAGTTGTAATCCTTTGCTTGAAGTACTTTGGTAATCACGTTTCGCTGATCAGGATTTAAATGAGAACTTATAGGCATCGTAGGCACAACAGTTGTATCAAAGGCTGGTTTTTCAAGATCAATGATAAGCTCTCTCAATCGTTGAGTCCTTTCATCACCTGTATTGGCTACAAGTGATACTAGATTATATCGAAGCATATTCATCGCAGTAGACATTTCGTCCTTATCAATTCGATATAATACATTGCTATCCTTGTAATGCTTTTCAACGTCTGCTCTATAACGAATAAACGTCTGGAACTGTTGGTTGTTTAATAAATCAAAATCTTCTGATCGTTTTGGTGGGCTACGAAGAGGTTCGTTCAAACCGAGAATAATCTCGTCTGCTGTCAGAGAGGATACATGGCCCATAGCAAGGCTGATGTGTCCTTCCATGCTAGATACCACTACGGCATCACCAATAGATAGGTTACAGAAGAGAGGTTTATTTGGTTCAGCTCGAACAAAGCAATATTTCCACTGTGCTATCTCTGGAAGAATTTCACTAGCAGAAATATTCAGCTTTAGGTTTGATATACATCTAATGAGAAACAGTGAGTATTGCTCAAAACTATAGTTTTCTATTATCGTTTTACCTTCCTGACTTTTCTCGTTCTTCGGCCGGTTGGCTCCAGATCTCTTTACGAAGATAATCAATGTCTAGCTCTTCTTTGTCTAAAAGCTGCCACCAATGTTTAAAAAAGCTAGATGTTTTCGTTGTCATATGATTTGTCCTTTCTTCAAACAGTTTATAGAGACCACTGGATACCCCATTTCCTTTTTCAATAGCCTTGTGATAAATGGTACAAGCATCAGCTAGACAACAGTATTGGCAGGTATGAAAGTTTTTAATCATTGGTGGAATCACCTGATGACTATATAGAGCGGATGCCAGTTCATTTCTTGCAATGATCATAGAAGCTACCTCGTTACGTAAAGCTGGTACTAAGTAAAGACTGTTTGTTTTTGAATAGTAAAGGATTCCCGCTCCAATGTCAATATCTTTTATATATAACGTGAGTATTGTAAACACAGACTATTTTACTAGTCCTTACCGTATCTATCACTCATCAAAAGGGTATAAAGCACAGTCTGTGCTCGGTTTGTCAGAAACTTGGATGATTTACCGGTTTTCAATTCAAAGGGCACAGTCAACACCCGATTGATCGGACTCATCTTTAGCTGCACAGAAGCGTCAATCATTCCTTTCAATCCGTACGTTGGACTCCATAGATGCTCTTCAATATCTAGGACTTTTGATATAGCCACTGTTTCACATCCTAATGCTTTAGCAGCGTCTGGGCCTTTATCACTGCTCACGCGCGCATTTGGTTTCGGCTCATTACCAACAAACATATTTCCAAACTCATGAATACTTTCTACATACTGGTTTAGCGCTTCAAGAGTCGTTTTCTCATCAACATCGAGCGTATACAGGTTTTCTAAAGAGGAAGCTACGATCTGTTCCATTTCTTCCTTGATGCTCTCTATGGAAAAGTCACCAGTCAACAAAGCGTTTTGTAAGACACGGTGAAGAATGCTGCCATGGACAAGTGCTTCTGTACATTCAGTCACGCCTCGGATCTTGGTCTGTAGTATGGATCGTCGTAGGCAATGATAGCTCTCGGCCACTGTTGTACAGGAAATAAGGCGATCTGGATGAACAATAATGAAGTTTTTTCGTTGATCAATAATTACTTCAGTGGTGTTGTTGGTAAAGGGAATATGGACAACATTGCCTACTGATATTGTCGTCTGTAGCCAATCATCTCTCAATCTAGCTGTGATGGCCGTGTTGCTGTCTTCTTGAATTAATGTAAGTACCTGAAAAAGGTTGTGTCAGTTATGTCCCTTCTATTTGAAAATAAAATAAACCTTTTCTGTAGCAACTCTATCGGAAACCTCAAAGGTATTTGTCGTTATGTTGGCAACCAAATAACGAGTAAACTTTTTACGCTTTTCCTATAAAAATTATTCCTCTATTAGTAAACATGTATACATGTATCACTGGTAGCATAAAGTATTACCTCAGCAGGCACTGGCTTCTTGATCTCGGTAACCACTGTCTTTTCTTCAGTTACTGTTACTGCCGTTGTTGAGGATGAGGCCCTTGATAGGATTCCAAGTGATTCGTTTACAACTACTGTATTCATCGTACCCTGAGGCGATCTATCTTCCTGTCTATCTAAAGCTTGAACGAGTTCCTCAATCGGAATATCGTCAAACAGATCATCCGAATTGCTCACTTGTCTTTGCAATAGTGCCTGTGCTGTTGCCTTCTCAATTTGAGCTAGTGAAATATCGTCATTGAACATGGCATCGTCGTCATCATCGTCTTGCTGAATTGTATTGATCAAAGGTTGATTAGATTGACAACCTAGATTAGACATAAGCCACACTTAAAGATCAAATACGGAAAAGTGAATGTATACCATAGCTCAACTTTATACGCTTATTTGGGGAACTGATCTTCATTTATCATTTACTCTATCAATAAAAAAAAAAAAAGATAAAGCAATTGAAGCGCGAGCTTTTTTTTTTTCCTTTTTTTGTACGTGTGTTACTTTGACGCGTGCTATTGTTGTTGTCAAGACAACCAATCACATTTTTATTGTTTCTATGGTAAAGAGAAAAAACAGGTAGGAATGGAGAAGGAAAGAGATGAGGATGTTGATGATGTATATATAAATTAGTATTTTTATGTCCAAAGTCTAAAAGTACCATCAGAACCAGTAGAGAAGATCCATGGCTGTGTAGGATGGAATTCAATGTTCAAGACACCAAGACTATCCTTAACATCATGTCCTCTCAAAATCTTTACAGGAACAATCAAGGGATTTTGTAATAAATCATTATAGACCATACCATAGAAAACTTGAATGGTGCCATCATCAGATGAAGAGGCAAATAATGGGTATCGCTTGTGGAACACAACTTGACGGACGGCCTTTGTATGATATCTATAAATGGAATATGAATTATGCCGTATTAGCTTATCTTTTTTATGAATTTACCTTAGTGACTTGTATGGCCTTGAGCTAAGATCCAAATCAAACCAGCACACTCGTTTATCATATGAACCAATAATGACATTATCACCACCTGGATGAATGTCAATACTAGAAACCCACTTGACGCTCGTTTGCAATGTCTTGACTAGTTGTTGTTGCATCAAATCATAGACACGAACATAGATTTGAGTCTAAAATAACAAGGTTTAGTAGATGAAATTATCATGGAAAAACACACTTACAGCAACAAAGAAAATGGGCTTGATAGGATGGAATGCAACCTTTTGAACAAGACCCTTGAGACGTTTGAAAGGAGCTTGAGTTTGATGTTTTGATACTTGGTGAATGAGTACAGCAAGGTTCTTTGCGTCAGGTGCAACTGTGGAAACATAGTCACCCTTTCTATGCCAAGTGATCTGCTTAACAGCTTGTGAGTGCTGAATGAGAACCTTGTAACCATATTTCTCCTCATCTGCCTCGCTTGCTCTGATCCAAGACACATTCTGTTTGCTTTCTGCGGGGTTGGCAAATCCGGCCTTTGTAAACTGATCAGTATTCATGGCCTGTATAGGAGAGCAGAGTTTAGGAGGCGAGATCAGATGAACATCACCATGGCCAACAGAAATGGCAAAGAGCCAGACATCAGGGTTAGGACACCAAGCGATGGCATGAATGACAGCTTCAAATTTCCACATGGCAAGACAGCGACCGGTTAACACTTCCCACAGACGACAGGTGTGGTCATCAGCACCGGAGAGTGCGTACAAGCCATTTGGATGGATTGATAATGAACGAATACGAGCGGTGTGTCCTTCGTAGGTAAGGGACTGTCTTGTAGGGAAGGGACGAAGATCCTTAGGGCTTGGCAGCTTAGGTATAAGCGACTCAGGATCAATATCCAAACGGTTCTTGCGAACACGAGGAGCCAAGTAGAGATCAAGGCAACGTTGGAATCTTTCTTGAATGAACTTGTCATAAGCAGGAACATTACGGAGGCTGGAGTATTTCTTGGGAAGGTAGTTCTTTGGTCTATCTTCCTCGTCCATCTCATGCCATTTCTTTGTCTCTTCTTCATCCAAAAGGTATTCCTCGGGTGGGTTATAACTTTCATCATGTTCAGGTAATTTCATCTTGGGAGCAGCAATGTGCATAACGTGATCTTCGCGAGGAACGTCATCGTCTCCCCAAAGGTTGTAAAATCTAGGCTTTTCATCCTTTGGCTTACGAGGCACAATACGGCCTTGACGAATAGCACGAACAATCTTCATGATCTTCTTTGCTTCCCATTTAGATGGAATAAATCGACTCTTTGGTTCAGGGCGTGCTGATAGTGGCATCACTTCTGTCTTTGATGTGAACCATTCTACAGTAGGCTCATATGGGTTGTAGGTGGAATCGGGAATAATACCTCTTTGAAGACGCTGGATAATATCCAGTTCCACGTCGTTAAGCACAATATCTTTGCCTTCTTTATCGCTCTTTACAGTCTTCCATGATTCAGGGTCTTCAACTGTAGCCAAGAATTTATCGAGTTCATCAGCAGTCGCAGGCTTCAAGACCTTTTTGCCGTCAATGTCATAACCAATGTGTGGTAGATCCTTGTACCACTCAAGAGGAACATTACCAATTGTATTTTCTGTCTCTTCGGTGGACGTATCACTGTCATAATTAGCTTCAATATCTGGTAGCTTTTCCTTTGAATAGCGTTGGCGATATGGAGGTGGGCTATTAACAATGAGTAACCATTTTTAGATAAAAGTTTTAATCTTACATCTTAAATTCCTTTTCTTCTTCTTCGTCGTCGCTTTCATTTTGTTCTCTTTCTAGCTCTGCTTCCAATTCTGCATCTTCATCGATTTCCTCTTCATCCTCATCCATATCATCCTCGTCCCCTTCTTCTTCTTCTTCTTCTTCGTCCATGTCTTCACTGTCAGCCTCGTCTTCATCATCATCGCTAAGATCGATTTCAGGGAATTCTTCAATGTCTTCGTCATCGTCATTCTCTTTTTCAGATTGTTCTTCTTCATCGTCAGAATGCATATCAATGTCAACACTTCCAAACTCTTGATCGCTTTGTTCATCTTCTTCCAACTCTTCAGCGCGTCTCTTTAAAGGCTTTTTATCTTTGCCATTTTCTACTTTCTTGGCTGTGTTCGTAGCAGTTTTACCATTGGTAGCCAATGTTGCTGTCTTCTTTCTTGGTGCCATGAGGTTGATGTCAAAGTAGAGACAGTTTTAAAGGAAAAAAAAAAAGTATCCAAAATATTAGGAGCTGTGGCTTTGAGATACAAACAGCAGTCACGCACAATAGTGACCTAAAATAGCCACACAATGAATTCCTATGTTTTTATCCAATCTTCGTTCTCATTTTTTCTTTGCATTGTTTTTATATACATGTTCAACGTTTACAGAGAGCATAAGATCTTATCTATGATCAATTCTATTTTATATTAACCATCTCTTAAATAAAGCGCTAGTTAAACAAAAGAGTTTATACTTATTTATTTCATTAGCAAATATCAATGTTACCCAAAAGAGTTGGTTATTGAAGTATAAACACATGTATTTAGCAAGCTAAACCCACTCAGTTTATGAAAAGTCTTTCCTCTTATTCTGCATAAGCTTTAGCATGCAAAGAAATAATACAAGACGAATAAATTCTATGCTTCAAATTAATAGTGTTGATGTTTGGTCTGGTGACTGTGTTCACTTGATAAATAGTCGACTTTTGGTAGAGTCATTTCATACAGCGTACAATGAAGCTTTTGCTAGAAGCTACAGAGTTATGTATAGTTCAAATGGTAAACATCATGTTGTAGAAGTTGCTATTACAAATGTTAGGGCGGAAAACATAGGTTCCATTGATTGGGCTCCTATATACCATCCCACATGCTTTAGTATTTCTCCTGAATTTTTTACAGATGACACGTTAGGCAAAATCGTTCGAAACAGCAAAACATTCATAAAAGATGATCTATAAAATGTGCTTTGCTATCTCTCTCTCTGATATAAAATACGATGTCATCATAATTACACGTGATCTTGGTTTTTTTTCTCTTTCTACTTCTTCTTGAAAAGAAACAACCCAGGATGGTTGAAAAGCTTTGTTGGATGGCATCATAGGTAATGTATAGAGATAGCGCACGTAGGATTAGTCTAACTTCTGATGTGTTTTCTGGTGCATGTAGCGTTTCCTTATGAAAAGAGTGGCACGAATGGTGTCTTGAATCTAACAAAATCCGCAACAATTCCCAATAGATTCAATTCTATCATAAAGAAACATTTGTAATCATTTTGGCTTTACAATGACTCTGCTGTTAAAAGATGATGAATACAAGATTCTAAAGGCAACCAGTACTTGTGACAACAAAGATATGCATAGATCAGTTCAAGATATTAGCGCATTTTGTGATGGTTCTGAACTTTCTTAAAGTTAGCAGTACAGAAACTGTAAGTATACAAATGACTTTGTACTTTTTAAAATTGTTAATATTTTCTTTCCTATATTTAGATACCACCTCTGGCATCGCGATGCTTTGAAGGGCCTCCACCACGAAGATTGGTATCGCGTCAATGTATATGGGGACCTTTTTGACCTTATCTTTATTAGCCAATCTGGATATGTAGCAAAGAGATACGATAATATGTTCAAGAAATTGAAGCTTACACTAATATAGTGATGGATAATGCATCCATTCATAAGCATGAGAACATAAAGAAATATATTGAATATCGAGGATATAAATGTGTGTATCTTCCTACTTACTCTCCTGAGCTTAACCCAATAGAACAGTTCTGGGCAGTGGCGAAAAGTAAGGTAAAGCGCCATAGGCTTTTGCAGGAAGACACTTTATCAAAAGTGTGGAGAAAAGTCACTTCAAAGGTTTCGTTTCACATTCTTACAAGTGCTGGGATAATTGTCGAAACAAAGAACCTATGTAATGGCCATAACGACTTTATCAAAAGTCAATAATGCAATGGTAAACAAACAACAACAACAACAAAAAAATAAAAAAA